ATAGAGGCGTTGGGCACAGCAAAACATCCACCTGACTTACATGCAGAGTACAGTATAACCTCTTCAACCTTCATTTCAGCAGTTCTTAACTTTTGGATACTTAACTTTGTGATCTTTATGCCCTTTTAATGCAAAGGTCTGGTTGATTTGTTAAATTACGATCTCTTAAAGGTTCCAAGTCTTAATAATTTGAACTGATGCATTAATTAATGAACTGATTTGCAGATTCCCCAAAATGTAATTGCACTTGGGGAGTAAACAGCTGTAAAAAGGCTGAGGGCTAGATGCTGAGTTTTCTAACGTAAAGCTAAATGACTGAGTTGAAGCTTTAATGGGAAAATAGCACTCAACCTTAACTACCTTAATTACAGCCTTACCTACAGCTACTGCCTTCACTGCAGCCTTAACTACCCCCTGCTACTGGAACTGTTTTGTCAGTCTCTCCTTCTTTCTCTTCTGTGGAATCTATGGCTGTCGCTTTCTCTACTTGGAATGCCAGTGTCCTACTCCTGAATTCCCTTTATCTATTTTGCTACTCCTCTGGTGTTCCCCTTCATCTCAACCCTTTGCTACTCAGCATGGGGGAAAGCACAGGCAGCCTTTTGCTCTAGTGGTAAATTCTGCCCCTGAAAGCCAGCTTGGAGATGGTGATTAACAGGGGGAAAGAAGGAATCTAGCATTGAGCAACAGCAAAAACAGCTCGATGGGGGAGGACTTCAGTGCAACTGTACAGCCTCCTGTATCAAGGTAACTTCATGCATAAGAAAAACAGAGGAAAGGAGACTTCTTCTTGTTCCCCCCTCTCTGCAGAAACTCTACCTGTATCTGCAAGGCCTGAAGAATGGCACGCGAAGCTTTTCTCCTTCCCCAAATAGTACCATCTTAAGGCGTGGGACCGAAGGACTGAAGCATGGGTCATTTGATGGGATATCTTTGATGGGACTTGGGAACCTATTGGGCAGCGTAACACAAGATTTGTCACGCTGTGGAGTAGGATCACACAGCTTTTCCCTGTCCTTCTTGATCAATCAACTGCTTCTCTGGCAAAGCAGTTACTGTGTATTCCCAGATAAACCCTAATGTGCACAGTTGATTTGTGTGGACGCAGTAGATTTTTGTGTGCACAGTGCAGGGCTCTCTTACCTACATAATGAGACCTGTAACTTATGGGCACATCACATCTGCACTGAAGATATGGCCCTGGTTGTCTCAGATCTACTGTAGCTGCACAGTATCTTGATGTGCACAGATCAAGAACTACTTTTCTAGTTTTTCAGATGAAATTCGGGATAGATACATCAACGATATATACATCTGTTTCTTAATGCCTGACTTAACTGGCCAGAGCTGTCCTGGATTTCACCGTTGCACTCTTGGCGTATTTCCTCTGGTTTAAATCCCATGTAAATGCTTTGCTAAGGTCCCCCAAGATTCTTAAGATTACTGTGTCCTAGAGTCACACCTGTGAATGACCATTCAGAGAGCTCTTCCTGCCCCAGGCTGACTAGCCTTGGAAAATCCACGTCACCCTGGTAATAAACACTGCCAATATCACAGCTTCACAGCTTTTTTTGAGCAGTACCCGCAGGCAGCAACTGTTTCTTGATCTCGCTGAGCAATATACTTATTTGCTATCAAGGGCAGATTGTGGCTTTTGCTGCACAGAGATGTAGCAGAATGATGAGGAGGTGGCCTAGGGGAAGAGGCAGGGAATGTTGCTCTTGACACATCTATGTTGAATAATTAGTAATAAGAGCCAAAGAAATATTCATGACTCTGTAGAAAGATAAATAGATTTTTGATTAAATTTGAGTTTTGTCTTTACAGCAGTTGAAGTTCTCTGTGATTGGTAGCATGGAAATTAGTTTTTTATGGATTCTGGCTGACTGGAGGAACCCTTTTAAAGCTGTTAGCCAAGATAATGCTCAGATATCTAGCTGGTGTCTGCTGCCGAGAATTCAGAATGGTGATGCCAGAAACCTGTGCTCTCTGGGCAGTTCCAGTGCAGTTGTTGAATGATTGAATCAATCCAACTTCTTCAAAGGATTTATTGTAACATTTTCTCCACCCAGTCCCCTGATTTTTGCAGTATTTTAGTGGTGTCTTTTAAGATACATGGCAGATTCCACTGCACTTAAGCAGACCTTAGGAAGGTGAATGCTTTAAGGGCATTTTCCTAGTGGGACACATAAATACATATGTACCTATCTTGAATTCTTCACAACACTTACATTCTTCTTTTCAAGGGTGTTAGCACAGGTGGTTGCATTGCTCAGCACCCACAATTAAGAGTTCTGAAATTTTTGTCAGAGTCATAATATACAAATAAAACTAGGAACACTCTGCACATTGAGATATTGACTCTTCCAGTGCACCCCAGTGCCATGGCCATCCAAAAAGTATTGTGCTGAAGGGTGTTGCTGAACTGTACAGGATACTATGCAGGTTTTGAGAGGTCTGGCTTAAGTCTCTAGCTCAGCCATAGGCATCCCTGTAGTAGCCATTTAATGTACTGTGTGTCTTCATGATTCACAAGGAAAGGCAGCCGTGCCTGACAGAAGCCAAAATGCATGCAAGAGGAACTCAGCCATGCTAAGTGACAGGAGCTGAACAGTTACCAAAATTGCGTCTTCACTCCTTTTACCCCCCATATATTTTCCAATAAAACTAATGTGACTAAGTTATACAGAACGCTAGAACAGGTCTTTCTGTTGTGAGGTGACTAACCTGAGCAAATATTATTGATCTGTGTAAGTCCTGAACTCTTTGTGCTACCATCTTGTTTTTTCCAAATAATTGTTGCATTACTGTGGTCCCTACAGTTCCCACACTGCCCTCCTTCACTGTTCAGTCTAAGCAGTCCGGAACTACTGACAGCTGGCTGTACTTGTCCAGGCCTGGGCTGCAGTCCCAGTTCTGGTGCTGCTCCTTCTGATCTGTGTGTGCCTTAAGGATGGCCTGTACACTATACACCACCTTTATGATACAAGAAAAAGATAATATCACTAGTCAAGCATTCTCACAAGAATAATTTGTCTTCTAAAAGCTTGCAAAATCATGCATTAGTCCCGTGATGTGCCTGTGGTGAAGACTTTGGGGTATTGAAAAGAACAGATATAGTGCAGCTATCAGTTTGCTATAAAGAAGCAAACTCATAGGAAACAATATATTTTAGAGGTTTGGGAAATGTACATAATATTAAGCAATTCAGAGTCTCACTCTGGCTTCACTTTCTCTCTAGCAGTGACCGACAATATGCTGCAAATATCCCAAATCGGCCCCTGCTCAGTCAAGAAGCAACGATTTTATTATCATTACTGACTGCTTTAGCTTTATTTCATTATTGTTGCCACCACACTCTTTGTTACTATGGAAGCTTTTGCCCCAAATGGCTAAAGCCTCATACAAATCTCAATGAATTCATAGAAACTCTTGTGAGGTGTGAAAGCTGTGGTGGCATTGCCCTTGCTTTAGTCAGAAGACTAGACTCAGTGTCAGGTTCTGGTCACCTTTTTCAAACTGTGGCCAGCTGCAGCTTTTAAAAATGCTAAGTAACCTTGTCCACATTCACATGGTTATCAGTGACAGAATTACCAAGACAGCCTGGGTAGTCTGTCCTACCCACTAGATACAAGTCCATTCTTTCTGGTCTCCCAATGACCCACTCTAGCTAGCTCTCTGAGGGAAAGCTCCAGTTTTCATTGTCTATTTTTGACTCTCAAACCAAGGTTTTTAAAATGTAGCCTAAACTAAGACACTACTGAGCAGACAGGCCTGGTTAGAATACCTGTGAATACCCCACTTCTTAAATGGGGGCTTGGGGGCCGGGGAAAGAGAGGTGTATTAAATATAGTACTAAACGTCTGAATTCCACCTTTCCTAAAGTTTGTGAGGGATCAACTGCTTTTCTCTCTCCTCACATAAGCTTTGCTGTCAAGGTAGCTACAGTCCCAAGTGTATCCTGAGTTTATTGTCATGCTCTGCCAAAAGCTGTGATACCAAATCAGGGCATTCCATGCCCATGGGATGATATTTTGCCATAAGATAAGTGTAGTCTGTATGGAAATTCAATTAATGGGCTGTCTCACTGGGCATTAATACAGCATCCTAGCACAAAACTAACCTCGCAGTGCTTCTCTTTTGCTCATTACTTTGTGAGACAGGTATTGCCCAGCCATGATTGCATTTGTCACAAGAAACACATGCACAAATGAAGACAGGCTCAGGGGCTGCTGGGAGGTGTCAGTATAAACAATAGCATGATTTGCACACAGGTTTCAGACAGTTTGCATCCCTTTTACTTGTCAAGTTACTTTAATGAAGGCTATAAAATAAATAGCCATGGCTATAATCTTCAAGAATTAAAATTATGACCTGGCAAGTTGAAGTAATTAACTCTTCTCAGCCAGGAATCAAACCAGAGATATATGGGTAGAAGGATGTGAAAAGAATATATTAACTCACTAGGTAATAGTGCTACTGTCCATCCTTTTTAGTTCTCTAAAAGACAAAAAAAAAAAAAAGACATGTTGAAATCATGTATTGGCAGCTTTTGTGACCGCTGGAGTAACTGAGAGTCATCTTAGAAGAAGAGGTACCAGACATGGTTTAGAAATGCATCTATTTGGTCTGACAATACTGTTCTGTGTTTTTTCCTATTAAAGACCGTGCAACATGGGCCTTCCTTCTAATTAGATACAAGGCCAAGTTAAAGGGTGGGATTAGAGGGCTGGAATTCTATATAGTCACAGAATATGCCTGGTCTTCTCATCATTCCTCACTGAAAAAAAAGTCATAGTAGGGCCACAGAATTTTAAATTATACTAGTTCTTGATCATTTTCTGAGTTTGTTAGAAATGTGTTCTTGTTGAGGTAAGGAAAACATGCTGATTTGCATACTTGTATTCTGCACAAGCAAGCCAGTCATGATTCTGCTAAACAAAATGGAAATGCACATGGCCATAAATACCATGCTCATTTGACTGTATTTTGTATTTCAGATCACCACATTATGCTTGTCCTGAAGTCATCCGGGTAAGTTGGTTAACATTAGTGTTTATAAATACATTTTTTGAAGTGTCACTCATTGCAAGTATGCAGATAGACCCTCTATACAAGAAACCTATCCAAGGCAGACGTCATGGGAAGGACACAAGGAGCGTAAGGCTCATCCCTGAATCAAGCCACATTAACTGTATGAGGGAAATAATTGTGTGTTATTCTCACAGTACCCTTTGTACTGTGTGATCAGACAGAAATGCAGGAGCCTCCTTTAATTTGATCTTTCAACCCAAGGGATGTAGTCCCCTCTGCTTTTCTGTCTCTTATGTAGCTGTCATTTCAGTAGAAGAGCCGGGGTTGACTGTCAGTGATGTTGGTTTCCACTAAACAATACAAACTGTTCTTTCCCTCTGCTCTCCCTTTGTCCTCTGAAAATAAGTATCTAAGATTTCAGTGGCCAAGATTGCCCTCTTCTTAAGCTTGTCTTTAATGTAAAGTCAAGCAGGAAGCATACAGAAAAGACTGTCCAGACTACTATGAGTTCACAAATAATGTGGCTGGTGACAAGCTCCCTGAAGAACCAGGGAAGAGAAAAACACCTTCTTGATGTCCTTAATGCACCTCTGACACTGTTAAAATGTCAGCTTTGATAATTTGTGAGTTGTCAACCACTCCTGCCCTGCTCCCTACTTCTGAACCTTTTCCCACAGATCCCAGATATGACTGTAAACTGACGTTAACAAAAATTCAATTAGCAGGCTGTAATGTCCTCCTAGTTGGGAAGGCCGCCTTGGGAAGCAGGTGGCTGAATTGAAATATGGGGTTTCCCAGTCTCCCCTCTCTTGTTCTTCAAGGATAATTAATTCATTTACTAGTGATCAGTCTTTTGAACCTCTGTGTCATTGCTGCACAGGGAGAAAAATATGATGGAAGGAAAGCAGACGTCTGGAGCTGCGGAGTCATTTTATTTGCGTTGCTAGTGGTGAGTCATCTTCCTTGCACTAGCCTTTAAAAAGAAAAGAAAAATTTGAAAGTGCTGCTGTATTTAAGGGCAATTCTATTGACATCATGTACAGGTGGTTTTTTATAGTTCCCCTATTTTTGTATCTCTCAGTGGCATCCTTTGCTCTTATTTCTACATCAGCTCCAAAGGAAAAGCATAAGAAGTATTTCACTGCTTCTTTGAAATGCTGCTGCCCTGCACAGGAGAGCGTAGACAGGCATCAAAAACTTGTCTCCATAAATGCTCTTTGCTGTGTTGTGATATTGCAGCATGTTTTTTTGTCTGGAAAGGATGTACAGGGTTACAACTCCAGGATACAGAGTGTCCAATAAGTCATCCTTCACAGGATCAAAATATGACTGGGTTTGCATTCGTTTTTTCTGCTGTATATGTGCATGTGTTTCAGGTATATGCATACATTAACTGCAGTGTTTTTCCAAGGGAAGGTTTGAGTGCCACAACTTTGTTTCATGCAAGCAGTGAGCTACATTTTAATTTGGTACACTTGAGAATATAAAACTGAGCCAGTAGTACAGAGTTTAAATTAGTTTCCATCTGGCTCAGTAATACTTTTAGTGTTCAAAATATGGTATCTGGTAACTTATCCTTCTTTAGATCAAAGTTTCAATTCTCAGTGCAATTTATTCTGATTTGCAGTGCTGTTATAATACTCCTAAACATACAACAACTGAATGTCCAGCTGAAGGCAGATAGGCTTGGCATTTGTTACCAATTTCCATAGTCTGATGTAAGAAAATATATTTTATGTTAATAAAAGCATATACCACATGCAGATAGAATATGGCATGATATTCTGTATGAATATAGGTTTTATGTGCATGTTAAGCACTTTATATTTGTAATAGTTCAGCTGATCATCTATAATTATAAAAGTAACAAGCCTGAAGTAAAATTTTGATGTTCTTTTACTTTTATCAGTAAACCTAATTGCTTCACTTAAATGTTTTATTTTGACAAAAGCATTTGTACAGTGTCAAATCAGAGATAGATTCTACATATTATTTTTGTTTAAAATACTTTAAAATTTTAGAAGATTTTTGTTTCAAAAAACATGTCAATTCTTTTTTAATGGCCTGAATCAAAATACCTTGAAATAATCTCAGTATGATGCCTTAATGCCCCTTAACCAATCTTACTCTTTTTTTTCTTTTTAGTCATTACAATTCACTGACATTTCTGAAGTTTTAAATTTTTTATCTTGATACTGCATGGGAAGAATTTTAACTGTCACACTAGGCAGCACCCGGTCATCTCTTACTGAGCAGCTACTTTCATGACTGATAAAATAGAACTGTATAATGAGCTCTTAATATAACTTCTTGAATTTGTAAGAACAGAAGAGAGAATGTGTCAAGATGGTTAGGATTTGTAGGAGTGGGCTTTTCATTTTCAGGGGGATTCTCTGTCAAGATTTCTTGTCTCCGTTGCTGCATCTTCATCTGGTCCTACATACACACATGAGCCTGAAAAATGATTGAAGTAAGTCTGTTAATGATGGAGAGTGCAAAGCTCTCCAGTTAATCATGTCAGGACAAACTCTACAAAAAGTCTCAAGATATGATAGCAGATGGTAGTAATAAAAAAGGTGTAGTTGTTACCTTCAGGAAATGCCACAAAGCATCCTTTCTGACTTCATTGTGGCTTAAATTGTGTTAGCCAAAGTACTGAACTATCAGAATTGATTTTCCTTTGAGTCTGGAATGGTTAGGAAAAGCGTAGGTAACTCAGGAGGTTGGTTACAGCAGAACAGGGAGGCTCTCCCTGCAAAGCCACCTGAAAGAACAAACGCTAGTAAATAGTGCCCGGTAGTGGTTGCCATCAGGTTACTTCCTGAGGCTGCTGTAAATGGAGCTGTTGGTCTCCCTAAACTATAGACACAGGATTGCTTATACAGATGCACTACTCACTGTAGTAAGAGCAGTGCCAGAACTGACAACTTAAAGCTTCATTATCACAGCAGCTGACAGCTTGCAGCTTCCCACAAACCATCCTGGAAATCAAGGAAGCTCAGCACCTACTAGAATTAGGCAGTGAAAGAAGGAAGTGAGAATATCTAGGAAGGTGCAGACTTGCTATAAAAGGATATCAGCTGCAGTCAGTGGAGTTATCCTAAAGATTTCAACTTCTCTTTTTCCTTTTTGTCCTTGCAGCAAGGATAGGTGTTTTACTGCTTTTTGTGGCAAGCTGATGATCTATTCACAATGTAGTTTCAGCTAAAAAAACCTCAAGCCATTCATGTAAGTGAGCTACAGTAGGGAAGCAATAGGAACTGATGACCTGACCACAGCATGGGAACTGGATGGAGTATATTAAACAGGTAGAATATCTGCTGCTTCCAAAGGCTACTGTTGGTTGGGGTTTCTATCAGCTGTGTCATTTCAATGCTCCATCAGAAAGGGCATGTTCTCTGCTGAAAGTCTCTCAAAAGCTGTTCACCTCCTTTTCAATGTCTGCAATAAATGTGTCTCAGGAAGATTAAAAATAAGGAGACGATAAACATTGCTGCTGTGAAAGTATGCCCAGGAGGAATACCAGCAGATCAAAAGCTTGAGCTGAATTTAAGTGAATCCATGCATCTTTGGTGAATTTGCCTGGAAAGGCAATTTCATATTTTGTATTTTATTTTATACTGGTAGTCATTTTCTAATTAAAGTCTAATAAAAAAACTCTGTTCTCAGTTTTGTTCCTATGTTAGAAGAAATACAGCAGCACTAAGAAATTACTTATTTTCTACAGATAGAAGTTTTTTTCACTTACTATAATAATTCATTATAAGCTGACTTACTCAATTACTCACTTCCATTCTCTCACTATGTTTATTCTGGTTTTTCTCCTTTGGCCCTCTCCAGTTCTCTGCCACTGACCACTCTGTCACATCCCTGCAGGGTGCCCTGCCTTTCGATGATGACAACTTGCGGCAACTGCTGGAGAAGGTGAAACGTGGAGTGTTCCACATGCCACATTTTATCCCGCCTGACTGTCAGAACCTTTTGCGGGGGATGATTGAAGTGGATGCCTCGAAACGTCTCACGGTAAGAAAGTATTTGGTGCTGATGGTACAAGCAGGGTTTCATTTCTCATCTTGTTGCAGTTATGGTTGAACAACGACGGTAACTTGTTGATTTACTGCCATTCCTGTGAGTTTCCTCCTTATCAAAAGAGTGAGTAGAGTTGTTGGAGTCTTTAGGAAGAAGTTAGTTACCTTCTCTTTTCAGTCACGAGGACAGATTGCCTTTGTGTTTTTTCTCTAGCCTCATAATTCCCTTCCATGTGTAGCACTGGGCATTTAGAAGAAATCCCTCACAACATCATCACAGAGCTACTGACACCTTAGCACATTTTGGAGTCCACCTGAGTTGTCTAGTTCTTCTGGCCGGTACAGCAGTTTGTTGGGAGCGTGAGAGACCTGTTTGACAGTCACAGCTGTTAGAACTGTTACTTGAAACTTTGCTAGTAAATAGTATGATTTTCTTACATTTCTGACAGAAGTATTGGCTTCTCACCTCATGCCGTGCAAGCTTCATTGTATTCTGTCCTGCATTTGCTCTGCACTGTCCTCTAGCAGCCTTCAGAGCAAGTGCCTGCCTGTCTGCTCTTTCATCCTGTGCCCTGTGGTCCTGAGCACTGTTAGGCCCACAGTGTTGAGCTCCTGGCATTCAGCACTGAGTTTGCATTTAGGATGCATCCCATCACTACAACAGAGGCCTTGCAAGGGCAAGGACTGTGTAGTGATTGTATCCTTCATTAACACTGTGTTAATGTTTTAGGGAATTTTAAAAATTAGCAATTAAAATAATTTTGGAAACTAAGATTGCCTGCTTGTCAGTGGAGGCGTCTGCCTTTATGGGTACATTGCCCTTGTAAATCCTATTGTCAGGCCGTGGTGATGATTTTATACAGATTTACTAAGCTCACAGATTCTGAGTGGGAGTATGTATAAAGAAATGTAAATTTAAAACTCCTCCTGGTTCTTCAGTCTGCTAAAATATTTATAAATAAACTCTCAGATCACAGGTTGGCCTCTGCTGAGATTGCTAACAACAGCATCAGTCTGTGCCAGCTGTGATGGTGCTTTCGGGATGCAGACACCTGTCTTCTAAGAAGTGAACTGAAACTCCCTTCACAACTCTCTTTACAGTATTACCTGACAGCTGGGCTTTTCTTTCATTCATTACAAAACCAGGTCATGCTGTATTTGGTGACACAGGTGAAAAGTTCTTCATGTTGTTACTAGTATCCCTACTTTTGCAAACCCAGTAGCCATCACATTTGCAGTATATTAATAGCACTGATTGAAAAAAAAATATTAAGCATAGAAAAATTTTAAGTGTAAAACAGATTTTTAAAGAAAGAAATTACTTTTTCCCAAGTACTTTCATAGAAAGAACACTGCAGAAGTTAGGGCTATACCCTGAGACATGAGACAGCTGTTCTTCATGGCCAAGAAAGTCACCATGTCCCTCTCGAGCTTAGCTTCCTTTCCACATTGTAAACACATCAGTTTTTCTGCTGTTTTGTCATTGTTGGGTTTTTTTCAAAGATATTAGTGCTGATGAACTAAGTCTGCTTGGAAGGAGATCATCAAATGTTAGATCCTTCTTCAGATTGTTCTGAGTTTTTCCATAGACCAGAGACAGACTCTAAATGTTTTAAGTTGTGCAATACGTCAGAGAATATACACACATAGGAGAGAATACAGTTAAGGTAAACCAAGGTCCCAGAGTGACACCCGTCCCCCCTCCTTTTCTTGATGAAAATTAACCTCTTACTTCCTTGGGGAGGAAAAAATGCCAGATCTGATAGTTATTGGAAAGCTCTAACCAGTGAATTATGAATAAGAATTTGAAATAATACATATTCAAGAGCCGAGACCTGGGAGGAAAAAAGGTTAGCTCTTTGTTATTAGCTGCAGTCTTATTTTCATTATGTGAGGGTCTCTCAGTTTGCTGTCCCTGCTGCTGTCACACCTCTGTGCTGTTATTGAGCTGCTTGCTTCGATTGCCAGGCAGAAGGGAGCTCTTTGTTTCCTGCATGGGAGCTGAGAATGTAGAGTTCATTCTGAGGAGAGATCTGAATTATATTTTAGCTGTGTCCTGTGAAAAAGGGTATTAATATGGGTTTATTTGGAAGCCTCTATTCCTCGAAAATATATTTCTTGAATCAAGTTGATATTTATACAAAGATCTGAGCAAAATTGCAGCTTGGGTACAATAAGTACAGATGTAGCTGTTACCATTACTGATCATTTGCTCAATATCTCACTGGTGAATTCAGCAGAAAATACAGTGAAATGTAAGGTCACCAGAATTTTTTTCTTTCATTTTTCACTTCCCCTCTCTGCTTTGTTCCTTTTTTTTTATTTGTATCTCTTTTCATCCAACTGCATTTCCCTCCCTGCAGTAATTGCCATTTCACAGCACACCCACACCTTCCCCAGTCCATCTGTTAAAATGATCAACAAAAACAGAACCAGGATTCACGTTTAACTGTCATCATTCGCTTCGGTGTTAGAGCTTGAGAAGATTAATGGAGGGGAGGGTATTCAGAACTATTGTTGCTGGCCCTTTCCAGCCTTAAGAAATAGGCATTACCTTTCTTTGTATATGATTCATTTATGGAAAGAAGACTTTGCTGTGTCTTAGTGGAATATTGTTCACATTCACCATGTATTACATAGCTTCAAATATGGTTAGTGGAACGTCCTTGACCACTCTCATTTACTGGGCCTGTTTTACTGAACATGCTTTAAAATAAGAGAATCCATGTTTTTCTTTCATTAAGCTGCAAAAGTTGATCCTGGTCATGATATTTCTGAAAGATGAAATTCATGAAAGATGAAATCAAAGAATGAATACTAAAGTGATCAGCATTTGAGAGAGCCTGTCTGAAAAGCATGGCCTAAAAGGGCTTCAGCTAGTCTACACGGATGATGTCTAAGAAAGGTTGTACCGCTCATCTGCATATTCCTGAGAGGTAATTACTAGGCAGAGAAGGATTATTTAAACTAAAGGAAGATACTGGTACAAAACCAAATGTATGTCAAATGGCCTTACAGAAAAGTAAGCTAGAAACTAGAAGCAGCATTTTAACCGTATCAGCGGGGTTCTGGGACAGCTTTCTGGTAGGAATAGTGTCAGGAAGGAAAAGTGAACTAGTAATAAAGTTTGAGAAGGCTTGTGGAAGGTGTACTCTGGGTGCCTGAAGTACTGCAGGATGAGCTTTCTTTTAGTTATGTGCTCTTCAGAAAGCAAATGGTTTTTTCCTTGGAGATTTCAAATGATTCAGCATCTCTGCAGCATAGAGTTACAGCTCCTGTAGTGGAAACCATTTGCATTCTCAACCAGTATTTTCTTCTACAGAAACACAAAAGCAAAGGGCAGAGAGTAAGGAGCTTTTGGTCCACTTTCCTTTTAAAGATGGATGAGCATTATCAAAACTTTGTCTCTAGAGCAAGGTGGATCAGAGCAGATACTGCAGAATTGACAAAGCTGTTATTGTTCTAGTGTTGACATTTTATACTAGAGTAGAATGACTTGTCTTCCATGTTGGGTGTCCACATAGTCTGAAATACCTGTCCCTGAATATTACCCAACTTAAATTACACATATTTTCAGAATCTCCTCTCTGTTCTATACTTTTGTTTTTTGTTGGGTCTAATATGTGTTAATGATGGACTAAAACATCTAAAGAATGTTACAAAAATGAACAAGGGACAACTCACCTGATTCCTTCTTCATTTTTCTAGAAGGTCTTATGGTAAGGTGCCTATCACATCATTTAAATTATCTCACTTCACAAGCTGTAGAATGGAGGTTATTGTGTAGTTGATGTATTTAGGCTGTAAGGTTTTGGCTGACAAGGGTCTATTCATGCACCGTGCAGGTAGGACAGTGATTCTTGCCCTTGTCAAGGTCCCTGGAGGCTGCTATAGTACGGCTGCTACTGCTGACACAGATAATGGTTTTGCCAGTGCTGTTTGCAGCACCAGCTTGAATTCTGTGGTCAGGAAAAGCCTCTATCTTGGCATTACACAGTCGGTTTAAAATTCAAACTACAGGATCTTCTGAATGAAGAAGATTCGTTTGAGGTGTGGGTTGATTTGGGGCACAGATGGGTTTGAGATTGTTCCCTTTCTGGACAGGGAATTTTGAAATTTGACATGAGTTCAAGCTCAGAAGGCCTCATTTATATCCGCAGACTTTTGAGAAAGTTTTTCTTCGGGTCAGAACTTTTTAGCTTGGCAACCGCTCTGCTGAGATCAGTGCTGAGGATGTAGACAGCGCGGTCTTGTTTTCCATCTGCCTGTCTGTCTCCATCTGTTGTTCCCTGCCTTGGAATTCAGACGTAAGCTCCTTGTGGGAGGAGACCTCTTTTTCTGATGAGCTTGTACAGCTCTGTATCGCAGTGGGTCTTTCACCTGTGAGTGGGGCTCTTCAGTGTACAAGTTTAATATATATTGGAAGTATTTTTATGTAAAATCATGATAAAGGAATTCTCCCTCTCCTTCCATTACAGCATTTTAGCTTGCAGCAATCTCTCCTCTGACTGTGCATGTGCAGTGGATCTAAGCATGTTTTGTTGTTTCAGAGATGACATCATGAGACAATTGCCTGCAGTGACTAGGAGATATTAGGAAGCAGCGTTTTAACAACTTCCATAAAATGGCATTAAACTTGGCAAACTCATGGGCAAACAGCAAGAAGAACCCTCTGGGAAGGGTTGTTAAATGCCTTCGTCACTTAAATGCATTTAAACATTGTGTTTAAATGAAGGCAGGAGGAGTGAGATTAGCTCCCACTGTGTATCTCCCTCCCCTGCACTGCATAGTAAAAAGCACACAGACTTCTCCTTGTCAAAACCAATCGCCCTCCCATAACCCTCCTGTCACTTTAATGCAGATGAAAAGCAACAAAGCATTAATTAATTACCTTTAAAACAGTAGTGAAAATGTTGGCAGCAGCAAGCACACTTGTAATAACATTTCAATGCAATTACGTTTTAATCAGCATAGAAAATGGATTTGTAGAATACTTTTCATATCTCGGATATCCCAGCATACTTCACAGCAATGGTTTTGATGTGGATTGAATGGTAGATATGTAGGTAAACAGCAGCCATGAGAGCTGTCATACACCTTCAAATGTATATCAAGGTACTACAGGGGTTCTCTTTCAGAAAAATGGCTATGAGTTCATTAGCTTGAAGGAGGTTGATCAACAGGGATGAGCAGAAGGGATTTCTCTGACATCTTCTCTGAAGGAGTCCGGAGGTTCTGTGACTGAGATGTGAACTGGTGACCCTCTTTTATTCCCCCTCTCTGACTCAGAAAGTGAAGTGCTGTTGTCTACTTTGGCATGTCATTTCCACATATCACAGGCACACAAGAACATCATGACCCATGGAGACAGAAAATGCAGCAGGAGAAGCAAGCATGAAAGAGGCTTGGACATCATGTAGCTGTATCATCTGCATGTTGTCTGAAATCATTAATGTCTCTAACCCTCTACATGGTGTATAGGAAATAACAAGTAGATATGCATCTCTTAGGCTGGTTTACCAAGCACAGGAGGTACAGTATACTCCTCAGCAGATGCTCACAGAACCATAGACCTGATAAGTGACAATGCTAAAATTCTGTCCCATGGAAGCTGTACAAAATAGGCTCTTCTTACATTCTGTGGTTGTACCTCAGCTTCCAAAGAACCATAAGTAAGAGGGCTGTGTCTCCAGGCTTTTAGGGTAACTCTCATAATGCATAGCTTTATCTTGACAGGAGATGGTAGTGTGTCAGGAATACTCCACCTTGCTCTTAGTAGTGCAGGGATGAAAGGACTACCTAATGCAAGGGAAATTGTGATGAAGGGAATGTGACAGAGCTGAGGCCACAGCTGGAAGCTGTGCAGGTCTGCCCAGGCTCGTGGATGTGTGTGCTGGGGGAAATTGGTGCTCTCATCACCTGGGCTGGTTAGAAGACAGCTAGATAATAATAATAATGGCCAGTCTTCGCGAACGAAGATTTTGGGGAAGGTCTTTTACCTTTCCAGCCTGCGCAATGGATTTTTTAGGTGAGACACAGCATGCGCTGAACTGAGCCCACCCTTTAATCCTAAGGTTCATCTGCCGGGGCCAAGCGAGCTTGGACAATGGCAGTGAGGTCCTCAGGACATAGGTTTGTTTAGAGTGACCTTCTCATAGATGGATGGCCTCACAGGGCTAACGAGCTCCATCTGCCCGGGGGACTGAGGAATCGAACCTGGGTCACAGCAGTGAGAGTCCTGCATGCTAACCACTAGGCCACCAGGGGTCCCGAAGACAGCTAGATATGCAAGTGCCAACTGCACCTCTGACTGCAGTGCTGATACAGTCTGGGTTTTAAAGGAGGCTGTTTGTCTCATACTCTCCCTCCAGCCTCCTGTCATGCTTTCCTAAGCTGCATTCCCCTGCTGCTTTGTTTTCAGGAAAAAGCCCTGTCTCACTTAGAAAAAATTATCTCACATAGAGCCAAACTCACATCTCCCTGGTTTCTCAGACATGGAGCTGTTGTTCCATAGCACCAGGGCTCTGATGCCTTGCTGTCTGTGGCAAACATCTCCTTTGTATCTCTAAGATTTTGTTGTTTATCTGTTCCTCTTTTTTTTTTTCCTCTGGTTCTCATTATTCTCAAAATGGAATGTAATAAGAGCAGGACAGCTCTCTCCATTCTTCCTGACCATTTTAATGGGTCTGTGATTTCATGTTAGCACTTGAGTTTCTCTCCTGCCTTTCACCTGCATGTTGCACAAATGCAAGCCTGTGTGCAGTGAATGTGCATATTGTTCTGCACATACAAAAGTGCTTCATAGTGATGAATATGAAAAATATTGTCCACATAAATAATCCCTGGACATCTATGAAAAGTTCTTTTCTGCTGTGATTATGATTAAGACACAACATATTAGGAATGTTCTGCTGTAAGTATGTCATATGAACCTCCTGTTCTCTCTACTGTTAAGGGTTTCTCTTGGATAAAGCATGTTGCTTTCCTTTCCCCACACTCGTGGGAAAACATCGTCATCGTGTAACATTTGCTGGGATCTGCCTTCCATAGGTGGACAAGGCCACCATTCAGCTTTGATCATTGCATGGTAAAATACTCATATGTGAAAGAGGAAAGAGGAAATTAAAATAAATTTGCAGGTTGGTGTTCAGGTATGGGATCAGTAAATGACATAGAGCCTTAGTCTGCTTGGTCCTAAGGTTTTAATGATAAATGTGAAGCCCATCAAGAGTGGGTCCTGGCAAAAGTTCTCCTCACACATGCACAAACTATTTTGTTTATTTACATTATCTCTTTGAACCTATTTTCTTCTTTCTATCTCTCTTTTTCTCCAAAACGAAACTAGAAATGAACTTAAAGTATAAAAAATTAGCTCTTATGCACATTCAGAAAGGAGCAGTTTGTTAGCTTTGTTTAAGTAATAGAGGGAAGGGAAAAACTTAAATTGCCAAAACACTTGCCTGTGAAGCCTCGTAATTAACATTTTCCTGGGATTTGCTCCTGACTGATCCATTATGTCTGGAATTATAGTCTCATTTTCAGTGGGATGGGTGAGGATGAGCAGCTCTTGTACACACAGATCTATCTCTGAAATGTTGGACTTACTTGAATAAGGATGTCTTGTGGAGTTACCTTTTCTGTTTTACAGCACTAATTCCTTGTTTTCTTTTCCTTTACAGTTAGAACATATTCAGAAACACATATGGTATATGTAAGTAACACTTTTTCAATTCACTTTTGTATGCATTCATTATTGGTTCTGATATTCAAATGATTTCTGAAGAGTGAGACTGGAGTCTGAAAGCAAGTTTCACCCGGGTGGGAAAAGGGGCAGAGGATAGAAAGACTTTTAATTTTTTTTACCCTTTGCTGCTCATATAATTTCTTCTATATATACCAGCCAAGGAACTTTTTTTGTACAGTGGCTAACAACTGTTTGAAATAGCACAGCAACTTGCTGTGTTAAAGAGATACATGCAGGTGATCAGCGGAACCCCCTCCAACTAGCAGCCATATTTAGTTTGCTATTCAAGTGCTACAGACAATCCCTTGTAATACCTTCTTGACAAGAAAGCTTTCATTTGTTCTTTCTTGGCATCTTGGCTTTTCTCTGAAGTAGAAACAAAAATGATGATATTGATAAGTAAGCACCTGTGAGCAAGAGCTTTTCTGTCTCATAATCCCTGCTCCTTCTTCATAGCAAGCTGAGAGGCTGCTTCTGACCTTGTAACCTGTTGATGCGAGAGTAGTTCTGTGACTTGATTAAAAGCAGCAGTCCTGATAGTGAAACAGGAAGTCTGTGAGAAAAGTACATGCCTGTCTAGTGGTTTGGGTATAAGGAAGATTGATGGCTTTTAAAAGTGACCTTGCACTCTGTGTAGCTTTAATAGTATTTCAAGAAACCTAAGTAAATAACTTTTTTATACTGATGATAACCTAATCAAACTAAAGAGACTACTTCACATATTAAACAAGGAAATGATGCTTTGATACATGTTTCTCAGGGTCAGCATTTCCCAAGTGGGTGATAAGGGAAGTCCTACCTTCATAATCCTATCATTGCTCTTGAGAAATACTCAAGATAATATGAACTGGTACATAAGCCTGTCACTAGTAAGAAAAAAAACAACCGCTTTTTTTTTGTATTTGTTTTCTCTAATTCTATCTTATGGAAAATGTTCACCTCTGGATTTATTTTTAATAAGAACCTGAGGGCCTTCAATGGTTTGTTGAATAGCTAAGAAAACATTTGAACTAAGGAAAAACTTAGTTCACCTGTAATGGTGGCAGCACTTTGCCCATGGCTTTTTCATGCTCTCTCCAGTAACCAGACATGGCACCTTTTTAAACCAAAGAAGGGCACAAGTGTTGTTGCAGCAGGTACTTTTTTTTTAAAACTCTCATGGATAAACGTAGAAGAAATGGAGGGGCAAAATCTCTAATTGTAATCTGTGAAATCTCTCCTATAATGTTTTACTAGCAATTCCAGAAGTAAATGCTGTTTACATCAGATTGGGCAGCTGATCCCCTCTGTTTCTTCCTGGAGTGAAATCAGCTGGCTCTCTCTGTGCTTTAATCAGAACTGGAATAGGAAATAAAATGAAAAGTTATTGATCACTTATATTATTATTCTAACCCTCCTCAAGATTTTTGCCTGGAAATTTTCGCCTGTTGAAGGACTGTTGTCCCAGGCTCTCATGCACAATTATACCAGTATTATTTCATGACTTTATTCTGTATTTAGAATTTGAAGATTTTTTTTTTCTTTGCAGACATAAGCATTTGAACATTTTCATGTACTTCTCAATGAAGGTCAGACTCTTTGATGATTGACACAGTAAACTGTGTCAAGGGAAATATCATCTGAGGCTGTTTTCAGAAGTAGAAACTGAGTTTTGCAAAAGCAAGTCTCCCCCAGACTCCCAGTGTAGTCAGTGCAGAAAAGCTCTTCCACGTCTCTTCAGAAGTTTCTGCTCAAAATAGGTTTTTTAATGAGTCTCTTTCTCATTTTCTCTATACTGGGCATGGATTGACCTCAGGAGTTTAACCTCCTATGACTAATTTTAGTCAGTGAATAACCCTGCCACCTCCAAAACTCAGCTACTATTGTCTGGTAGTGTTTCACAGCCTCTTTGCATTCGTTTTTCCTGGAAATACTGATGCTGACAGAGAAGGGGGAGTTATAAGTGTTTTATTCTATGGCTGTTTTGCTCATCTCTTAAATTTTTTCCTTTATTTCATCTGCTGTTCTACGTAAAATCTTCATCGTTTGTCATATATAGGTTACTGACCTGAAAGTTGTACTCAGAATATATAAGTGATTTCACTTAATTCTTCAAATAAATATTAAGGCTACTGTAAAACTGAGGGAAAGATTTAATTGCAGACTAAGAGAGACAGAGAAAGAGGTCTTGAAAGTTGAAATCATGATTCACAAACCTAAAAAAGGAAAAAGAAATCAAAGTGAAACCTTTCATCAGCAACCTCCAGTTCTTCTTGCTCTCCCACCCAAATTAATTCAGTGAGGTTTTTCAAGCCTTTATAATTGAAATAATTTATTTTTACCTCAAACGTAGGTTATCGTAAGCCAGAAAATAAACAGCAGTTATTCTCACATTTTTTTAATGAAGAAAGAGGGCAAATAAAATTAGCTGTTGTGGCAAATGCATACTCCTGTAACGCTGAGTTATTACCCTAATTGTGAAGGTACCACATTTACTAAAACAAGATAAAGAATAAGTGTACTGGTTCTGCTTTGCTTTGCACTGATGCAAATGGGCATCTCGGTGAGATTCATGAGAGAATTTCATGGAGAGACTGAAAAAGTCCTCCCTCATCAGGAGTCACAGCCATTGTATGCACCAATCCTCACAAAAGAGGGTGGGTTTTAAAGCAGCAATCACATTCATGCGGACCTTTAAAAAAATATATGTGATTTGCAGTATTCATTGTGTGACATTGTTTGATGTCTGTGTGGGCTGAAATGCAACAAATTTGTCACTCTCTGCTAGACTGAGAATGGAACAGGCATTACAGTCATGCCAATCACAGCCCAGACCCAGTGATTTTTGTTTCCTGAAGCACTGAATTGCGTTGTCAAATGACGAGACACCTCTTTGCAGATTTTACTTGTACCTGATGAGGAGGTGTGAAAATTCCTGCCTATGTCTGAGGCTGACCAGGTGCAGAGCATAAGGACATGCTACTTTCCAGTGCACAGAAGATGGCAAGCTGTGTTGTCCTCTAGAAATGGCTCCCATGCCAATTGATGCAAAAGAAGCTTGCAAATTCTATTTTGCTGTGGACTAGGGTGACTAGTAGGAAACCCAGATTTTCTGGAAATTTTCAGGGACAATAATTGTTTTTAATCTCTTTAAATTACCTTAAGGGCATCTGCTTGTAACATAATGATTGATTAATTAAGTCAGTACTTTTCAGAAGTGAATCGTAGATCACTGAAAACCAAAAACATTCAGCTGCTTTCAAAGGTCCATCCTGCAAGAATTTATCTTAATGACAAGGTCATTACTGTCTTTATTAGTGCAAAGTTATGATCTAATCATTGCTTATTACCTGCTGAGAGCTAGATCCTGATTCTAAGAGGTTAAGAGTAGTGACCTCTTACAAGGAATAAGGTGTTTCTTTAGTTGAACAAGGATTTTTGAATCTAGCTCTTAGATTCAGGACCATGGTGGCTGTTTAGAAGACACAGACACTTCTGCGAGTCTCAAAGGGGGCATCAGAAGCTGTGTTTTAGTGGTTTGGTACACAAGAACGAATCCTAAGATACAGATTCTTTCTGTGTCCTGTGTATTCTGCTTCCAGTTCCCAAAACTGAATAAAACTGAGAATGATATGTCTGAGTGCCCATTGTAAGAGAACTGGGATCTGACCCAAGTTGTCATGGCCCATGTAATGTACACCACAGTCTGACTCCATGACATATATCCAGGAAGGGCTGAGCACATTTTCACTGCTTCAAAAGATAAAATGAAAATTTCCAAGCAATCTTTCTGCAAGTGATGTCCCACAAACAGTTAACAGAGCAGATGCCTCACAACTGCATTTCAACTTGCTTAAAAATAAAATGCAAATAGCACCCAGCAATCTCCTGTGATTGCCCCAGCATGTAACTGTCCTGTCTTGGCTGCTATGACTTAGTATTGCCTTCTTAACTTGGAGGAAATAATCTACATTGGCTCTCTTTTTTGCTGAGACCTCAAGCTCATATGTATGATCCTACCAGAGTTGCTTTCTAACTTACACAAGAAAAATTCAGGACATTTAAATTGGAACTTCTTTTTCTGTGTAGATATTTGGACAGCTCAAGATTTTAAGCTGTGCGAGTAACTTCACAAGTCGTGTCCACCTTATTTCTTCCAGCATCAGAAAGAATCTCCTGTCCAAACACGGACATTTGCTCCATAAACGGCAAATGCAGTTTAAATCTTCCTGATTCTTGTCTCCCACGTGGGAGCCTGGACTCAACGTGCACCTGGACTCACACATTTGAATCACATAAAGGAAAGGGAGGACCCAGAGAGCAGGGAAACTTTGACATTGCACAAGGCATCCATTGAGAAATAGCAAAGATTCAGGGGGGACTGTTTCTCCAACAAAAACACCACCACCACCAAACCCACCTTTTGAGGTGGATAGAGTTTACATAAATTGCTCAATACCTATCAAAATAAAATCAAAGGATATTCAGAATGTCTGCAATATATGTCGTTAGGCACTTATAATACCCTGACACCCTGACCTGTTTCTTACAGTCAGGGCCTCTAATTGCAACAAATAATCAATATTTCCTGAGCCTAGTGAATGGGATGGAATAATTGTGCAGAAAGCCTGCATTAACTACATTTGAAAGAGTAAAATGTTCTGCTGCTAGTGTTGTGTTCTGAGGTCTGCCACTGACCTCGGGCACCACACTTGAGCCAGAATTTTCAAATCTGCATGTCTGAAGAGAAGCAGAGATTGTCATATTTGGGCATGTAATTAAGCAACCTACTTTCCCCAAAAACCTTTTAAAGCGTGTCAAGTGGGAACCTGAACACTGAGATCTCTTAATCACATTAGAAGCATTAACTGCTGCAATGCCAGTTGGAATCAGAATTGGTGAAAAATAGTGATGGTTTGTTCAGAGCTCCTTCTTTGAAGGAGAATCACTCGGCTTGCATTTTTCGGCCTGATAGTCTGAGGTCTGGCCTGCTGATGAGAGAGCATCTCTAAAACCACATAGGGTTTTATAAATGTTCGGCATTAGGATGCTGAACAGCTGCTTCTGTTATGAGGGCACTGGTAAGTGAAGTTTCTTCTGCCTTCCTGACTGAATGCAGACATTTCTCGTTAGAGACCCAAATCTATAAGCTGCTGGTCAATCTTAGCCTTCACGACAGTTTCTTCTGAAAAAAGTATCTGTCTGGTTGGGAGCTCTGGTCTCAGTGGGAATTCAGCAAGCTATTTCCATCTGTTGCTGCAGGCTGTGTTTCAGAGTATGGGTTCATTTGTGACTCATGTTTCTTTTCTCTCCTTCTTTCCCTCCCCCTTTCTCCCTCTCATCTTCTTTCCTCTGCAGAGGGGGTAAGAATGAGCCAGAACCAGAGCAACCAATCCCTCGAAAGGTGCAGATTCGTTCTCTCCCTTCCTTGGAGGATATTGATCCAGACGTGTTAGATAGCATGCACTCATTAGGCTGCTTCCGCGACCGAAATAAACTCTTACAGGACTTGTTGTCGGAAGAGTAAGCACTTGCTCAGTCTTCATATCAGTTGGGTGTCCAGGGACTGGGATGCTAATAAAATGGGGGAGAGGTAGAGAGCACTGTAACTGGTGTCTCTCTCTGTGAGTGACTGGTAGCAACTTCTCACCCTCTGGCTGCTCATTTGCTAGCGAGGTGTTGGGAGCAAGCACTGAGCCTTTCTTGCTCTATGGGTCAGAAGCTCACAGCCTGACCAGCAATGAAGGCATGGTGCTATCTTTTCCCTTGCTGCCTGGCTAGGTCAATTCATTAGAAGATGGGCTGTACAGTCCAGATGGGGAGGTATTGTTGCTGTTATGTGTGTTGGATATGCCTTTGTTGGCAGATGTTTATTTATTTGAAGCCTATGCCTAAGAGCTGGTGTATTTCCTGAGGTGTTAAGAGGGACACATAGTAGAAAGAGCATTTAAAGGCTCAGACCTGTCTTGCTACCACTATTGGTTTGGACTTCCTTGTGGACACATTACCTTGTCTGTCCTGTGCCTCTGTTCTGTGTGCATAACATAGGAATCGTATTTCCTTTCCTCACTAGCTGCTTGTTGGAGACAGCAAGGGTCTTAAAAGCTTTGTGGGTTGTGTATCTTGCTGGCAGGTACATGACTATTTCCAACTTATTTAGAATAACTGTAACTGTTCATTTGATGAAAAGGGTTTATCTACGTGTTGATGTTTTTTTCTTTCCAAATGTAAAGATTTGTTTTCTTTCTTTTCAGGGAAAACCAAGAAAAAATGATTTATTTTCTTCTGCTTGACCGGAAGGAGAGGTATCCTAGTCATGAAGATGAGGATCTTCCCCCTAGAAATGAAATAGGTACTACAGATATGACCTCAGTCACCAAAAACCCATCTCAACTAGTTCTTCTTCACCTTTTTTTTTTTAAATTTTATTTTAATATAAAGCGAAAGTCTTGCATCACTGTTACATTTCCACTGAAATGGTGTGAGAATCCTCAACCTGGGGAAGGCATGTCTGTTTCATGGTTGAATTCAAAGGCTTTTTTCCTCAGGACATGTCTGTCTCACAGTGCAGAAACATCCAAGTAGGTCTTAAATGAGACCCTAAAAAGTATGCTGTGGGCCCACAAACTGTCTACATGCAAACAGATTCGGTTTAGGAGCAGTATAATCTAGTGGCAGAATTTTCTAGTTACTAATCTGTGTGCAGTATTGTAGAAATGCTGCTCATGGACTTCAGCTAATGAGACTGTGTAGCAGTGCATCTCTATGCAGTTACACATGTATGCATTCTCTCTTCTGTAAATGAATACATACACTGTTGAAAATATGAATAATATCACTTAGCTATTTATAGTACATAAATCAAACTCCCATGTTTTTAGACTTAGATTTTAAAAGCTTAACGTGCAGTAAGATTATATATCTTGTAAAGCTCTTGTGATACCACTTTATTTCTATTTATTCATTGATATTTTAGCGTACTGCTGATCATCAAGGACTTCACTAATCAACAGGAAAAATGCTTCCCAAGCAGCTAACTATATAAGTGACTCTTGCTGTGCAGAGTGACAGAAGTTTAATAAAGGATTAGTCACTTCTAGCAATGATCTGAAATAGCATTTTTACATAGCAGTGTTGTGATTTTCAGGTATTGTATTTCAGCACTTTAAGACTAGAAGTAAAGTGCTCTTTTTTTTCCCTGGAAAGCCTGGAATCTTACAGGCCTACAGGGCAATGCTATATTGCACTGTAAATTTGTTAATGCTCCATTGAATTATTACCTTATCCAAGTTCCAGGCTCCAGGCCCTATAATTTTGCAGGAGAATCTCTTCTGTGGGAGAAGAGATAAAAGTTCTTAGTTAACACAGCAATTTTTAAACTCCTACCTCGATGGAGCTACAGAGAGCATGTTAGTGGGGATCCTGATGAAGATGGGTAGACGTGCCAGCTGCAGGTCCTGTGGTCAGAAGCCCCTTGCTCAGTGCAGTTTGTCATCTAGCACTTTACTAATCAGCTTTTGACTCAAACAGATTATCCTGCCATGTAAGGACAGCATCATCTTGTTTTGGAAATGCTTTTGTCCTAAGAAAAGAAGCAAGGTGACTCTAGAATCTTCATATCCAGCATGTAAGGGAATACGAAGCTATGTCCTAAATGCATCATATATCTCTCTTCCACATGCCAAAGTATTTTCATGATTTGAACTACTATGCTCCACTCTTATGGTATTTTTGTACAAGGAGTGAAAATGTTTCCTAAGACTGCTCTCTATGTGTCATTGTGCCTCACCAGCACATTTGAGCTTTATTCTTTGAGTGTTTGTACGTTGTATTTCTTCTTCCACAGGGGGTTTCCACATCCTCTGTTCCCAGCAGTATCTCTGAGGACATGGGGCAAGGTTTAATTAGGAACAGTCATGTGTCTGATTAATATCTCATCATTAGCCATTAGCAATGGCCTTGCACAAACAAAGAAAAGCAGAGAAAAAGTAACAGATTTAATAATAGCAGCTTGAAGAAATCATGTTCATGAGAGTTGTGCATTGTCTGAGCTCTTGCCAAAAAACAACAAAGCATTTGAGAGTATTTTGCTTTTTTCCTATTCCTTGGCATATTAGGTCTCAGAAAGGACAGATCCAGGTGAAAATATGGCCAGCTCAGGCTTGCTCTCTCTTCTGGTGTCCCTTTTGTCTGTTTCAACTGTATAAAGTTTTTTCAAAGAGCCAGGGAAGGGTCACTTCCAATGTTTTTCAAGTGCAGGTCCATTTTCTTTACTTGAAAACATAGGAATGAGAAAGTTCTCAGTAAAACGAATGAATGTCAACTAATGTCTCCTTGAGGAAAAGGCTTTTGTGGAGTGAAGTTTCTTAATAAACCAGAGAACAAGAGATTGGGCCAGAACAGATATATAGGATATAGGTGCCTTGTCCAAACTTAGAAGTTGAACCTTTATTTCCCACCTTCCATGAGATGGTGGATTTATAATTGGATCATTACCTATATGATTCCGTATTCTTCTGTAAAAATCCTTAGGAATGGCTTCACTTTTTTGATGTGAAATAAAAGGAAACTACATCCTCAGTACTATCACAGATCTTGACTATGGCATGATGGTTTTTTGCCACATGGAATATTTCCAGAGAGTCAAGAAGAGAAGGGCAAATACTGGAGGTTTTCCTAGTTTTAGTTCCTGCGCTTCTGAAAAATCTTCTACTGCTTTTGTATGACACCACTTTAGTCATTATGGCAGGATGGCTGTGTATTTAACTATTTCTTTAGTATCTTTAGACTTGGCAGTGATGATGCCCTGTCATTTCTTAATGAGACCCTTCTAAAAAGTATATACAATACTTGCTACTCTCAGCTATGTATAGTGTAGCATTGTAGCCAATTTTAAAGAGACATCAAATACCTTTATTAGAAGCTCGATTCATGCAAGTTTCTGGATATATTTTTCATCCAACTTTTGTGAATTGCTGTTCCTGAATTTATAGATGTATTTCACCATCTGGTCTTTTTGCTTACTCACTCTCTTTGATAGTTCAAATTATAGATTGGAAATCAATATCTTCCAGCATCTTAAGCAGCAATGACTGATATAAAAGAAACGTTTAGCTTGTTAGTGATATCCTTCTCCTCCTTAATTGTTCTGTTGATTCCCTCATGGTCCCCCTGGCTAATGTCCTTCTCTTGAGCTTTCTCTCTCTGATGGCTATACAAAACACCATCATTAAAGTCTTTAGCTAACTCCTCTTCACTGTCTTTTAAAGTCCGCCTTCTGTTTGGCCTGTCATTTTTGTAAGTGTCACTTGGCTGAATTTCTATTTGCTAAAGTCTTCTGTTTTGAACATGCTTGGATCAAATTGCCTTTTAAAATACATGTTCATAATATGTTTTTCATGCCTTTTTCCATCTCTCTTGTTTAGCCTCTATTGTTAACTAACATCGACGAAGTTTGAACTTATCCATCTCCATTCTTTTGACACTGGATGCTTTTGTCATCTTACTTCTTCCTCCTTCCTTTTAAACTGCACTCTTTTACCTTCCTTTCTAATATCTGATATCCCTCTGCAAAACTTATATCAATTTTGTGTTATATATACTCTCCACATGTATGTTACTCAGCTCTAATCACACTTATGATACCAGCAGTGTTCTGTGGCATGAATTCTTTCTTATACTTTTCTTATGCTTTCAACTTACTTGAAGAAGCAAAAGTTTGAAATATGTAAACCTTGCCCCAGCTTTCTTTTGACCACTTACACGTATGCAGCTGAAGTCACACATGCTTTATTTGGTTTATTTCCCTTTGCTTTTCTGTCAACTTTATGCCCTCTTTATTTTTCCTATCTAGAATTCATTGCCCCTACCATTTTCTGCTATCTCTTTATTACTGGGCCTAGTTTGAAATTGAGTGATATACAACTGTGCTTTTTTCCTAATTATTTTTTAACAGGAACATAGTTACTGCTAATACAAAGAATATTTGGTTTATACAGTTTTTATCACTAACTAATGGGGTCAGTTGTTATCACTGACCCATTTGCATTTGAGCCATCTTTGCTTATGCTCATTGTTTCAAGAATAAGCTCTACCTTAAAGAGATCTTGTTCTAAAAAACATGACGTGAGAGAAAGAAAGAAGAAACAAGCAGGTGGGTGAGGTGTGAGGAAAGCAGGATAATAAGGACTAGGCAGTAGAGGTAGAAGTGTCAAATATGGTATTTCTGGTTTTGCAAAGGAATCCTGGCAGAAGAAGCAGCCTTAAGGGCTGGGCATTGTGAGCTTCTTTCTAACAGCAAGAATGAAGGATGCCTTCTTTTACAAGTGGTCACTCTCCACTAAAATTAAAAATGTGTCTATAAGCAGAGGCAGGGAACTGAAATAGCCCAACCAAAAGAAAGAAAATCCTTCTGTATTTTTTTCTGCCTTACTCCTTCTTACACTTTTGATGCCATGAGAGGTGTTAGTAATAAAACATCTCAGCAGGTCTGCATTTGGTTCCCTGCTTCACCATGGAGGTGTGTATTGTTTGGCAAGTCACCTTCTGCAATGCATTTTGATATCTAAAGACTCTTTTCAGAACAATTTAAGTGCTCCTCAGAACCTCAGTAAATGTTTGTCAAAATCTTTAGGAATGATGCCTTTAAATCTCTCATTCTTATACTTCAGTTTTCACTCCACAAAGCTAAACTAGCACTTTGATACCTCATAGAATTGTTACACAATAAAAGGTGTAAAGCATTTTGGTTACTATAGTAGTAAAAGCTGTATGATGAGCTCTGAGAGAAATTTTAGTGGTTCTTATTGAAGATTCATCTCAGGTAGACAAGGATGTTTAATTTGCAATGCTGAAGAAGGAAAAATATAAATCACTGGGAAAAACCTGAAATCTAATCCTAAAGATGCAAAAAAAGGGTATGTTTCCAGAGCAGAATACAATTCTGAGTTCAGAATGTACCCATGTCCTTGTGTCACATTTAATCTAGCTAGCAGGAACATTGAAGGCAAGGTCTAGCAACCTGAGTGCATACACAAGATCCGTAGATGGCTTATGCTCTGGCTAACAGCCTGTGCTGTAGTCCATGCTGTTGTCTTGTATCATCTTGTTATTACTGTTATCAGCTTTGTAAGCTAATTTCTGCAAGCTACAGTATAGTTGTACCTTTATGTTACAGTGTTCGTACATTCAGGGCAGGGGCAGCGCTCCTTCTCTCTGTAGATAGAGTGCAACTTCTGTCTTAATGCTTGCAAGTTAGGAAGAAGAGAGAGCCTGCAAATGTTCATCTCCCTTTATAAAGATATCTGTCACTATGGAGGAGGTGCAAGAGTGAAATTGTTGAGAGGAGATTTAACCAACCTGTGTGAGGTAAGTCACAGCTAAATTCAGCTGACAGCATTTTCTTTTCATAAAGATCCCCCCAGGAAGCGTGTGGACTCCCCAATGCTGAACAGGCATGGGAAGCGGCGGCCAGAAAGGAAGTCGATGGAGGTTCTCAGTGTGACAGATGGCGGCTCCCCAGTCCCTGCTCGCAGAGCTATTGAAATGGCACAACATGGACAGAGGTGGGTCTCTGCTTTACCCAGGAGTCCTACCTGTCTGGGTTTGCTACCCCCCTTTATGTTATACGTACAAAGAAGCTGTGGAGCTTTCCTGTTCGCACCAGCACTCATTACAACTTCCAAGCACATTTGCAACATGGTCTGGCAGCCAGCTGCGCTTGTGCACACAGGACCAGGAGTCCTGCCGGGGGCCCGAGGGTTCTGTTCGCTTGCCGCTCTTCCTCAGGAAACCACCATGTCCTCTGGGCAAGATTCATCTCACCTCTTTTTAATTGTGTTCAGTCTAAGATTGCGATACAGGCTGACGGCAGTGGGGACAGATGAGGGCTTTGGAAGGTCTCAAATACATATGTCCTGTCAAACAGGATAAATTATTCGCTGCTTGTTCTTCTCTGTCTCCATAGCCTACAACAGGAATCTAGGTAACTATCTTGGATTAGGTTCCTAGCTTTTGGGCACCTGAAGTTAAAAGAGATGAACCCCACCCTCCATGTCATCAGAACAGCTTGAATCTGAAAAACCTTGTCCAGACATCTGCAAATGCCTCTAAAATGTGCTGTCAGAGCCAGTGTGCATCTGACCCACATAAATTACCACATGCCTGTAAAGTGATGGAATATATATAATTTTACCTCTTTTCTATCAAAGAAACTGTCAGTCTTACAGGGAAACAGCAGAGGGAAATGGTGTCTCCTTAAAGCAAGTTCTGAGAGAGTAAGTGAACTGTAGAAATTCACTTACGTGAACCATGGACCTTGCTTCCCCAGTCCCTATGACTAGCCTAAGGGAAGTACATGCATTTGTTTTCACACTTGCATGAATCAATCAATATAAAGGAACACTTTACATATATGTATGATGATGATGATGCTGTAACTTCTGTTTCAGCTTTGATATGCCTTTTTTTTTCATTCATCCCTTAAGATCTGCTCAAAAAGAGCGTGTTGTGACCAGAAGCTCCCTTTGCTGACCGAGAACTGGGTGAAGAACATGAAGTAATTTCATAGATACTGCAGAGGCCCCTAGAATTGCTGAAAAGTTTTGCTGGCAAATGTTACAGTTCTATCTACAGTGACAAAAAAGTGGTGATTTCCGGAATCTGCTAGGACTTATTTCAGACTGAATATGTGGCCTTGAGATACACTGCCTTAAAGATTTTTTGTTGTAGTGTAGGTTGGACAGCTGTCTTGAATATGTGATTTCCTTTGGTATGAGGTCTGAGGTAAGGAAGTGTTCAGGACAGGGTGTACTCTGTGTTCCTCATAGGCCTCAAAGTAGTAAGCATGAACACAACACTGACTCCTTGTTCAGCCTGCCGTGTTTAATCTGGTACCTGGTAGATGCATGGGTCGGGAAGCTCCCAGAGCAAGACAGAGGCTGCCTGTGAGTTGCAGTATTCTGCATCTGTTTACAGGAGGTGTCCAACAGGATGGAACAAACAGGAGGTGTTAGATTTATCACAAAGTTTTGTGAGAGCTGAAACCTTTTCTTTCAGCTCTCAGCTTTGACTTTGGATTCAAAAGCCTGAAGAGGCAAAGCTGTGTTTTGCTGTCCAAAGTATTTCTTTTGCTTTTATATGACTCTCTCAATTCTTCACATGAGGAAACAATTGAAGTCAAAAGATCTGAGTTGAGTTCAGAGCAGAGACATATCCAGGCTACATATCAATAAAGAAGGGCTGTGGCTTAAGGAGGAAGCAAAACCTGCCAGGCACAAAAGAGATACGGGCCAATGCATACCACAACTCAGGAATGGACAAAAAGGTGTGATTAAGGGTGGAAAAAGGGATGTAATAACACCATGACGGATGATGATGGGCATGGTAGTGCTTGTTTTTGAAGGGGTTAAAGGGAAGATGTTATTTTACTCCACGTGTGAGCTTCCATAATTTATACCATCCACATGTGCGGATGACAACAGCACATTTTGTGTTGCTGGCAGCACAGTCTTTTATAACATGAACTGGCTTCATTAACGAACACCACTGCATGGGGATTGTCTCAGGACGATGCATTGCTGATGGGGCACCATCTGTCAGAACAGTCAGTAATAAAATGACAAGTGCCTTCCACCAAGAAAGGGGATTTTTAATGGCTAGTCTCATATTATATTTCATGAAGTGACCCACTGACAGTGGATTTTACAGCAACAGGGTTTAGATCCCAGAGGTGGATGCTTTTTTAAGATGATTTGGTCTCGAGATGACTATTCAGTGCTTTTATCCTACAGTACTAGGAAGGTGGACCATGGAAACAGGTCTCCTGTTTAAACACAGGTGATTTGTGTAAACATCCAGAGACAAAGAGCCATCGCTTCTTTCTTGAGCTGGCAAAGATACACCTCTAACCAGGGGGCAAAACACACCCAAGTGTCTTGTGATTTATTCCTACTGTGCTCTTTCCCAGTAGTAAACAGATGTTTGCTTGCATAGAGAGGATTTCTGTTATAACCTCTGATTTACATGCCTGTGTGATGAACTGTGCTTTTGGTAACCATGTGGGGGCCCTACAAGGGTCTGGTTTTGGCTTGTTTAGGGCATATCTTTCCACTGAAATTTGAAACTTGGCAGCCTTCAACTCTACAGGCTGAGAAAATATTAAGTGAAAAACATAGTCCTTCAGTGACTTAGTTTTGAATAATGGACAAGGGGAACTCAGTACAAAGGGTACTTGTTGAGCTTATGGGCTCCCTGAAATGCTTGTGCCGACCTCTCCAAGTGTTTTCCATTGGGTCTATCTATAAGACAAAGTTAATATGCACAAGCTCTAGCCACTCTAAAACTGGTGACTAAGTTTTGTTAGTTCTTGGATTTCCCTGCTAGTTGTCAACTAAATGGCTTCGTAATTATATCTTAATTGCTTCTGCTGTTCTGGTGTCCCCACCTCTCAGACTATCTGGTATTTCATTGAAATGTCAAAAGAAAAGAGGTGGTTTCTGAGATTAGTTTAACACCAGCTACTTTGTCCCTTGTGCTAAAATCACACAGACTAAGATGAATTCCATGGGAGCTATAATTTGTTGGGGATATGCCAGAAATTTTCAGCATCTTTGCTGTGAGAGTCCAAAAACCATTCTAAAATGGGCTTCATTAACTATTCATTTTCTTCTAGTTACTGAAGTGGAGAGCTTGCATGAAAGATCAGCTAACATTAGGAAGCAGTGTCCTGTGAAACAGTGAAGCATATTACCAGGGAAACATATTACAGAGAGCTGCCCTTTTAGTAAAGCATAGGGAATTTTGCTTCTAAACTGCAGGGATTCAGACCCAGTATGAAAAAGAAGGGCATTTCTCTATACACTGAGTAAAGGGAAGAGAGTTGGGAGTTAAGTGGTAATGGACCCTACAAATTAGAATACAAAATGGATTACCATTCCTCTAAGAGGCTCTATGGCCTGATTTTAACCTTTTCCCAGATTGTGCTTAGTTTGAGGTCTTCTAGAAAAGTTTTGAGTAATGAATGCTTTACAATTTATGCCTTCAGGCATGTTCTGTTTTCCCTGGACAGTGTGACAAAGTAGATGGTACCTGGGTTTTAAATTGGATAAAGGAGAGCAAGGTTTACAAGTATGCATTGGGAAAGTCATCTCAGACCTCAGAAGTCAGGGGAAGATAATGAACTTCAGCACTGTGTAGGTGTGAGCCGTAGCTGTAAAGTAAAAGGAAAAATTTTTCAGAGCATTGCTTAAAAGGGGGAGGATGGGTTGGGGGGCTGGGTGTCCAGCATTGCTTCAGGTGACTCTCTTTTATAAAAATGTCCACAGTAGTAACTCTGTTTTCTCGCTTTGTTCCTGCCATAGTAAAACAATGTTCAGTAAAAGCCTGGATATCTCTGAAGCCAATCCCAAATTCAACAAAGAAGAAAGGTATAAACACTGACAATATGTTCCTCTCCTCTACCTCACTGCTGAGACCTTAAAGATGCAGTACTTACCTTCTCCGTGTGGGGACAGAGCTGTTCTATTCTCTCTTTAGAGAGAAGCAAAAAGGGTGTTTTTTTACAGCCCCACACCACATATGTTTTTGTGTAGTACCATTCCTTTGAGGCTATCCCCAGTGCAGCCTGGGACTGTATCAATGATTTCCCCACAAAAATTTCATCCTACTGCTATTTCTGGTTCAGTTCTGCTGTGAGTGAGGATACCCAGGGTAGATGATGTATTTGCTAAGACTTCCTTGGGAAGGATTGGAATATAAAACACTAGGAAAGCCCAGAGTGCTCCACTGCCAGCATTAGAAACAGCAGCACAACTGAGTCAGTGACAGCAATGGTAGGAAACTGGAAATTCAGTCTGACAGAGCAAAATATTAAATACCTATAGGTAGGAGACAAAGTCCTTAAGACCACCCAGAGGACACAAGAGGAAAATATGATTGAAGAGAAGACTTTTTGGAGGATGATTCTAATCTAACAGTTCAAGTGACAGATGGTGAAGAATAAGAAAAAGGGTTGCTCCCGACTCTGAATAGAGGCACAAAGGAAGACGGACAGGCCACCAGATTTAGGGAGTTTAAGCAGACTTACGTGGGTCCATGAACACCAAAGAAAGCTTAGACTTTTGGGAAGGTTTTTAATGGACATATTATTTCTAAAATTTTGGTCTCTGACAAAGAGAATTTTTCTCTGTGTTGAAAGCTGGCATTCCAATGGATAACTCCACATCAAAATGTAATCCTTATACATTTTGGACAAATACTTGGCTTACCCAAAGGTTAGGAGTGTGGCATATGATTAAAAAAGGGAGAAGCAATGGCTTCCTTAAAGGAACCTATGACCTTGGCAAACCATTCTTCTTTCCGTTTCCCTTTTTCATAGAAATCTTTCTACTTAAAGATAAGTGTGGCCTTTAAGCCCCAGGAGACTTGCAGTATGTATGAGGGACAGCCCCTGTTTTGGCCTTTTGCAGGCTGAGACAGTCTTTTATAGGCAGTGTTTCAACTCCCGAACCTGCCACGGTGTAGAACATCATGGATCTGCAGGAGAGACTGTGCCTCATGTGGTGTG